TCACTAGTGTCGAGATAAGTTTATTTCAGTTATTTCCTAAGAATAATGTCTTGAGGGGTTTAGAAACTATTTATGTTTTCAAAAATAGTTTCTAATTTCAATAGTAATGTAAAAACAGAAGAATCTAGTGTAAAATAGAAGAATCTAATGTAAAAACAGAAGAATCTAATGGAAAAACAGAAGAGGGCCATTACAGCTATTTAGCGAGAATTTGAAATAAATAAATATATTAACTTTGGTCTCTCCGTATATTTACGAATATTTAATGTATGCTCACAAAAACAATGGTAAGACCGAACAAAACTTTTTTTAGGTTTTTTTAGGTTTAGGTAGTAAAAAAAGTAATATACACTCTGTAAACACTAGCAAAAAAAAACACAAGCTAGTGATACCAGTTTCTCGACTCCACAGAGTCAGTAATTCATTTTTTGGCAATGTATACGCTATTATAACAAAGTCCAAAAAATGTACAAGGTCTCTCTATTACCAAGTTTAAATATTTTATTAAACAAAAACTGTATAAAAAGGTTTATTATAATACATGTCAGATATTCAATAGAAGATTCTCGGAAATACATCAGGATAGCGTCAATTGTTAAAAATAATAAAAGTGTGAAAGCGGATGTTCAATTTGCTCTTTTGATTATGCAATTAATTATTATAAGAAATAAGACAACTTAACCCACTATACATTCAGTATAATGAAATTACAGTTCGACCACAGCGCAACATGTCCCCGCCACGATCACACACTAGTGCAACGTGAGAATCATGATTACACAAAATTATGCAAACCAACAGCAACGCTACTTAACTCAGTGTAACACAGGGCAGCCTCTCAGCAACACCAATCCTCCTTGCCACTCCACTGCTGAACATAGGCCTCCCAAAGGAATGCCACAAAGTAAGATCACTGGCCACCTGCATCCATCGACTTCCTGCATATCTTACCAGGTCGTCACTCCATTTAGTGGGGTGTCGCCCTACACTTAGTCTGCCGGTAGGAGACTGCCACTCGAGAATCTTTTTTCCCCATCGGATGTCGGCCCTTCGAGCTATATGGCCGGCCCATTGCCACTTCAGCTTACTAATCCGTTGCGCTATGTCGGTCACTCTGGTTTTACTGCGGATATCCTCATTTATAAGTTTATCATACAGAGAAATCCCGAGCATAGACCTCTCCATAGCGCTGAGCCACCTTGACTTTCCTAAAACGGCCAGCAGTGAAGGACCACGTCTCAGTCCCATAAGTCATCACTGGAAAAAACGCACTGGTTGTACAGTATCATTTTCAAGTTTGGAGGTATACCTGATGAGAAGATGTGTCGAAGTGTCCCAAACGCTGCCCAGCTGAGTTGAATCCGTCGATTGACCTCTCTGTCGAAGTTGGATTTATTTAGTCGGACTATTTGTCCCAGGTAAACATACTCGTCAACAACTTCGTGCTCCCAACAATTACCGGCATAGATGTGACATGGATGTTACATATCATCTTTGCTTTGTCCATTTTCATCTTAAGACCTATCCGTTGGGAAACACTATTGAGGTCATTGAGCATAGTGCTTAGGTCCTCCAGCGATTCTGCCATAAGGACTATATCGTCGGCCAATCTAAGGTGAGTGATGTACTCGCCATTGATATTAATACCGTATCCTTTCCAGTCCAGAAGCTTGAAACCGTCTTCCAATGCAGCAGTGAAGAGTTTCGGGGATATAACGTCACCCTGTCTTACACCTCTCTGCAATTGAATAGGTTTCGTACTCTGGTTCTGTACTCGGATTGCCATCGTAACCCTACTGTACAAATACTTCAGCACTTAGATATACCGACAGTCAACTTGGCACCGCTGAAGGGACTACAGCACCGCTCAAATTTCAACGGAATCAAAGGCTTTCTCATAAACCACATACGCAAGGCAAAGTGGCAGATTGTACTCTTCCGACTTATGTAAAATTTGCCGAAGGGTGTGTATATGGTCTATGGTAATAAAGCCTTTTCGTAAACCGGCTTGTTCGGGAGGCTGGAAGTCATCAAGTCTTCGTGCGAGACGATTCGTAATGACTCTCGAAAACAGCACGTAGACGCGGCCCATAAGTGAAATCAGTCTGTATTTCTTCAAGAGAGCGATGTCGTTTGTCTTCAAGAATAAAACCACTGCACTTCTGCTTTACGCCTACGGTGTGGTGCCACCATGGAGAACAGAATTAAAGAGCTTCTGAAGGATTTCAAGTACCGGTTTTCCACCCGCTTTCAGAAGTTCCGCTGTAATTTCATCCGCACCCGGGGACTTGCCGTTTTTAAGATGCTGGAGAGCCATTCTGATCTCGTTCAGACTGACGTCCCGGATATGATCGGAATAGTGTTTGATAAGACTTGCTCTTTGATCGTTACTCACACTTTTGTGTGGCTCCAACGATAACGTGTACAGCTGCTCATAGAACCTCTCAATCTCACTCAAAGCTGTGACGGAAACATTTTCTGCCACATTCGGTCTTCAGCTTCGATAGTTAGCTCTTTCTGGCAGACAGATCTCTAGCAAAGACTTTGGGGCCCTGGTTCTGCTCAAACGCTTTTTCGATACAAGCAGTATTAAAGTTGCGTAAGTGCCGCCGCATGCATTTAAAGAGCTGTCTGTTTAGTTGAGTTTATGCTGTCAAATCTACTGAAGACTTTAGCTCTATTTCCCGTCTAACAGCCATGAGATTAAGAGTGTGATCGGAGTTTTTGTGTTCTTCTTCGACGAGTTTTGCAAAACTTAGCTCCGACCGCATGGACAGTTTCCACGAGCTTATCATTTAATCGTCTACTTCATTGCAATTGGCACAGGCACTGAAAACCGTTTTGTAACTCGAGCGGAAAGGTTGCGACCTTGGATTAGAGCACGAGGAGGACGGAGCGTTGACTTCATTAGACGACAACTCTCAAACTTAACGTTTATGTTCAGTGCGCCTCTAACCATTCGGTGATCGCTACCAGGTTTTATCCTCGCGATCACCAGATTCGAGGATTACCGTGTCCTCCCCCTCTCTTCGGACCTCAGATAATCCTATAATATCCCAGTGCAACTTGTCTATCTCTTCTTTGAGCTCTAGTATCTTCTCGTCAGTCCTCAAGGTGCGTGCGTTGTAAGTTGCTAGGTCGAGTCGTCTTAGCTGGCAACCGAACCTCTACCGGAGATTCTTAGCACATCCTGCCTCGCCATTACCGTAGTCGCCACCGCAGCCAGGAATAGTAGGACCGCCCGGGACTGGGGCAGTCTCTTCGTAACTTTATTCATTAATTGGTGGTATATTGCCATAGTTGCCAAATTTGGCGAACGGGTTGGAAACCGCAGCTTTTTATAGTAATTTGTTGTTATCAGAAAGATGATGCTGCCCATCTTTTGTCTCAGTTTCCCTCTGTCGCCTTTTACGACACCTATGGGAAGATATGGGGTAGTGGGTATTCTTTCACACCACGCCATGGGGGAGGGGGTTTGACACTTTGTAATTTGAGCCAATTTACAATTGAACTCGAAATGTTAATTTAAAATTGAATTTTAAAGGCCACTGTAGAAAGTATTTAAAATTATGAAGGCTACCTAAGTAGCTGCATTCTTATTACTAGAGAGTTAACAGTAAATAAAGTAAAAAGTTTGATTTACTTGAGTTTTACGTTATGGAACTATTGTATAAGCGTTAAAGTCAAACTACTTAAGAACTATTATCATCTATAATACACAGCACTACAAAATATACTCGTACCCTGTCAGTACAGCGTGGCAACGTATACGGTAGAAATTCAGTTGTGTTTATTTTCAAAATATTCTTTAATGCTGTAATTATGTTTCCTTTTCATTTAATTTCAAAAGCTATTTAAGTAATTATTAAATTAAAGAAAGCAGGGTCCTAAACTATACAATTTTATTTTGACGATGAGGGGCCGCTTTATTTCATAAATTTCGTTTGGAAAAATCATACTTTTGTAATAGCGCAAAAAGTGAAAACAAAGTAACGACAAAATTAGAAACGTGTTGTTTGTAAGCGTGATTTGACCAAAATTGAAATTTGTAAGCCATAATTTTTATAATTTTGAATTTGCTTGAAATTTAAATAAATGAATCTCCAGAATCCGATTTATGACAATATTATAACCCAAACGTTGTGTATAGGTTTTTTTATGATCACGTCAAGTGCGTCACGTCAAATGTCTGCGGTTACCGTAAAATACACAAAAGCTTTGTGACAGATGTGCTCTTCTACGATATCGACGGGTGCAAAGTAAAAAGGGTCATCTACAAAACAGCTACTTTTCAGGAGAGCGCATAATAAGAAAAAATGCTCCCATTTTGTCAATTTTAAACCAAATTTATTGAAATATTTATCATTGCTTCATTATTTAATAATGTATCCACATGTATATTTCATTTCTTCTAATTATGTTTAATTTACGAGATATTGTAGTTGTCTGCATCTACATTGCGCTTAAAAATATGACAACTGTGTTAACTACCACTTGGCCGTTTCTACGTGGGAATTCAAAGATTTAGTAAAATACTATACTAAGTCTTTGAATTTCCACGTAGATTAGTATATTTAAGTAAATACGAAAACTGTAACACTTCCTATTATTAAAATTAGTTAATGACCGTTTTACATCTTATCTTATCGGATCTTTGGTTGAGAATTCAACAGTAAAGGTATAATTATAGCCTTCGTTAGAAAAAAAAAACAATTAAAATTAAATCTAGAAAATTCTAAAGTTTTCATAATTTATAAAAAAATAACATCTGTCATAATAATCAAGTTAGGTTCGTTTCCATGACCTAGTTAACACAATAATAAAAATAAATCCTTTAAAGTACGTTGTATTCGTACATTTTTTTTATAAAAATAGTTAGGTATATCACTTATGATAAAAGTAAGTAGAAAATTAAATTCTAAACAATAATTAAACTCTGTATCAATACTTAAAAAATTACGAAAGATTTTTTTTTAATTATTTTAAAACCAATTTAAAAATTATTCAGTCTCATTACCGTCAGTACAGGAACTATGTTTCAAATTTTTATAAAAGTTATGATATCTAGGAGGTATCAGATTTTGCTGGCAGAGGCTTATTAAGTCTTTGTACTTGGCACTTGTAATCATGATGGGTTCATTATAACATTTTTTGGGATCATTAAAGCCACGGTGGGAACGAGTAGTTACTTTTCGCACCAATTCAATTCGCTTGAGTTCTTCGTCATTTAGATCATAGTTATAAAATATTGTGTAAGGATTCTCTGCTTTAACGACTATTTCTCGAACTTGATTCCACTTAACATTCTCATTGTCGGTATTTTTTGTCAATTTAAAATCATATAAACATATTTTGAAATCCAAAATTTGGTCTTGTGTTATTTCTATAACCTCATAAGCATCGCCGGACGTTTTACACCACCGAACGAGTGTATACCATTCTTCAGGACAAAAAATGAATTTTCTCTTCGACGATTTCTCAATTAATGCGTGGACACTATCGCCTTCTTGCTGGGTGTGACCCTTCTCCAAAAATCTGTGATGAATATCAATGCTATACTTTTGAGAGCAGTATACATACATCAGAAACACAATACGGTTCCTGTTCTGACCGCCACAGTTATCGGACCACAGGCGGATATCTTTGATGCCTCTATTAGTTGATTGTTGTATAAAATTATAAAGGCAACTAGCTACTTCGTTCGAACCCCGCTTAGCTATAGTTTCAGGCCACATATAACATATTCCTTTTTTAAGTCCCATATCAAAAACAGTAAAATTAATGACAGAAAGTTTACGCTTATAATAAAATGAACTGGTTTCTCCGTGTGGTGTCGACAAAATTTTTTGAAAATCAAAGGTAGCCGAAGTTACAGTTTCAGGATTAGAAGTAGCTTCATTTTTGTCTTGTTTCTTCAAAGATCTCACTATATTTTTATCTTGTATATGTTTATTGTACTGATCTTGTGTTCTGGTTTGTGAAGGAAGGCAATTTTTAAATGCTATACACACGTCGCACTGGTCTTTTTTAGGAATATAAAAGGCTATGTTCATTTCCTTGTTAACTATGTCTCGGTACTGGCGCGCTGTGTGTACCCTCTCCACAATACTATTTTCCTCTGCCCAAGTCTGGTACAACTTAAACATCGTGGAGAAATTTAAATCAGCCAAGTAAACTTTGTTTGTGTCTTTTCTTGTGTAATGTGACTCCACTGGTTGAAACGAGTTTACATGACCACACACACCTTTTATTATGGCGGCTGTACAAACCTCGTTTTTATTGTTATGACGACCTCTGAAGTCTTTTTCACAGTTACCAGTACTTTTGTCATATTTATCAAGAGCACTCTGTATAAACTGATTACTTACCGACAGCGTATTCTTAAACATTGTTTTGCATACTTTTACAGTTCTAGGGCTGGTTTCTTTTAAATTTATTGGAAGTGTATAGTTTACACTGTGTTGGCGTTTAGAATCATTCTCTGTAGTAATTCTTCGTTTCATACAACGTTTTGTATATTTACCTATAAAAACCCATTGCTTTTCGTGATCACAGAGATCCCAAAAACGATCAAAGATAAGTTTTCTATCTTCGTGAGATATTTTTGCGCTACAGTTAAACTTGCAAATAACACATGCCGGCTTAAGATGTTTCGCAGGTTGCAATTTTCCATTTCTGGACTGATATTGTTTACCTGAATTTAATAGTAATTTACGTCTTGTATCAATCCACTTGTCTTTATTTCTCAATCGCCTTTTCTTTGATCTATCAATACTGAACTGACGTCTTTTTCTACCGTTTAACGACGAAGGTGTAGAACATTCACTTGATGCCTCCACCGCCGAAGAAGCATCACTAGTGTTGCTTATAGAAGATTGACAGTTTGAAATTAGTGACATACTCGATGGCCTGCCTGAGTTTATTAAACAGATATTTTGATCTAATTCTGATAATGGATGCGGCGGACTTGAAGTAAATGAGTTGTATTCTGAGGGCGTTGGTGTATCCGATAATTTGCTCGGAGAATCTCTATTATCAACATAAACATTTTCTGAATTAATTTGTATTTCAGATTGAGAGTGAACTGGTGTGACCGACCTAGAGTACACAGAACATGGGGACTTATCTTGCGAAGTTAACTGATACTCATTTGTCTTCATCGCTGACACATCAAGGTCTTCTATAAGATGTTCAATAACTTCATCGGCCAACACAGCATTTTTGTCGAAAAATCCATCGCTTATGTTCTGTAAGCTTTCATCTTCTTTAAAAGGTCGTTTCGGATTTTCTGAACATGAAACAACAGTAAAAAATAACAGTAAGAAAATATAATTTAATTATAAGTCAATTAATATATATAGCTAACAATAAGAATTAACATAGGTAGGTACTCATAAACATAACAAACAATACTAATTTACAAAAGTAAATTAAGACATCTACATCACAATCGCAACGTAGAAAAAGCTATATGGCAGATAGCCGTTTATGCGTCGTTTCGTAAAAAAAATATCAATGATAACCTATTTTCATAATTACAAAAACTAATTATGATTTAACTTCAAAATAACAATAACATTAAACTTGTATTATAAAAAATACGTACCAGAACTAGTTTCACGGTTGTTATCGATAAGTTGTAATAGATCTTCTCGGTTCATAATATCGCATTGTCGTCCCGTTTTGCCCAAATTCACCAATAATTTACGTCTTCCCATGTCTTTTGTGTTGAATTCAAACTGTTTACTAATATGATAACACTGTTACACACACTATAACACTTAACAAACCAAAACAAACAAATATTCGTGCCGGCCGGCGAAGCACATGTCATCTGACTGATGACGCAATATGACTGACCGCTGGCCCCCCGCGCGTCCCGCGTATAAACGGTCAGCGGTAGTTGTCCGCATCTACATCGTGCAATTTCACAAAACAGGCGTAGTTGTCTTCTTTTACGTGACAAAAGTACCAAAAATAAGGTGATATTTATATTTTTGATTTTGCTATGTTGTAGAACATGATATTTTAAGTTAGTTTTTACAAAAAACCAAAAATCTCAAAATTGTAGTTAACTTTTTTTACTTTGCACCCGTCGATATATAAGTAAAAATTTAATATATACATTTATGATGGAAATACAATTTTGTAATTCTTGTAACCTTATCAACTATTACATTGATGGTAGAGTACTGTAAAAAATATACTGTATTTAATAATAGTGTACATAATTTCTTTTTTTATATAATTTTTCGCCGATTAATGTGAATTTTATTTTAACACTAGCTGTGGTGCTTTACCCCGGTGGGTAAAGTTCCTACATTTCTCCTGGGTGAGATCTATTAATATGGCATCATTTAGATTTAAGATAATCATCTCAAACAACCTTAGCTCTTTTACGGAAAAAATAAAGCCTAGATCAGTCCTGTGCATTGCTCTTGTACCTGAAGTTTCATCGCAATCGGTTCGATTATCCCAAAGATTAGCCTGGATACACAGGCAGATAGACAGGCAGACAGACCAAAAATTTATGTCTTAGTAACATGCAAATAATCCCCTGAGCTTAAAAGACGCTTACCTTATTTATATGTATGGATCATATTTTCACATTAATAATTTAATATCCATGTAAAAGGAGCATCTAGTACACAACGTAAAATTTTACCTTCATAAAAATGGTATTAATGGTGGTTTCTTTTAATTAAAAGAACTATACTTATGGGCTCAGAAGCTTTCTTAATGAAGCTTATTACACTACTTCTGACTTATTTTGAAATGATGATATTCTACCACTCTAATGAGCTAATTATAGAAAATAATATAATTAAAACAATGCTTCTGATAATTTTTATTGTCGTAAAAAAATCTGTTTTTTTTTTGTTCTATAACTATAGAGTGAAATAATGAGGCTCGACTATTCGAAATGGAGATTTTTTAGAGATTTTTTACGTGGTAGAGCCATGCTGCAGCTATATTATGGTTGTAGCACGAACGGGTCGGCTCGACCGGGGAAGGACCACGCTCTCACAGAATACCAGCGTGAAACAGCAGCTTAACGCTACTGTGTTTCGTTTGGTGAGTGTAGAGAACCGGAGACCCTTTTACTGGAAACGAGGCATTCCAACTTAGTCCTCACGGGTGACAACGCATCTGCATTTTGATTCTTAATCGAAGATAGATGTAGATGTCTATGGGCCACAGCAACCACTTACCATCAGGTGGACTGTATGCTCGTTTGTCGCCCTTATCCTATAAAAAAAATGGAGAAAGGGCTTAAAATGATATCAAAACTGTATGTTTTTGACGTAAAAAATTAAAATTGTCATTGGGTTTGTCAATCATCAACATTTTTGATGAAAATAATAACAATGTCTGATTTTAGGGAATTGAGACCGGCCGTTTGTCCAACCTACCCGTTAGTTTTTCTTTTATTTTTATTTAATCATTTTTCTAGGTTGACTGGAAGAGATTGCTATGTAGCAATAAGTAATTTACTTTTCCCTAAATATTTGTTTATTTGTAATTTTTTTCTTTCCTTGGTGTACAATAAAGAGTATTGATTGATTGAAATCCCTAGCACTCAAAAAGCCCCAAGCAATAGGCAAAGTAAATACGTATAAAATACTTAACAAAACGTATATCGAGTATAGCAAATTCCGTATCATTGACATTAGATCGACATAGCTACAAATATTCTTAACTTCATTATATCATTATTATTGTTATTTTAAATATAAGAATACAGTCAATATTCCTTTTATAAAAAGGTGAAAAAGAGAGACAGTAAATTCCAGCTTTCTTACAACCAGAAGTCAGATTATCCCTCAAAGCTTTTTAACAAACACCTACCTCTCTGTAATAAAAGAGCTCGAATTTTCCTTTTCACTTTGGTTCACAAGAGATTTTTAGATCTTTGACAAAGGTTTTTTTAAGTATCAGAAATATATTATAATAACCTATTTAGAAACCGGCAATTGTGAAAGGAAATTTTTAAGCCTTATCATTTCGATAAGATTTTAACAAAAGCTTAAAATAAATAAAAAGAAACTAAATATTGTATATATTGTATACATATAAATATGGTAAATCTGTAGAAAAGTTGTTTTTGTAATTTTAATATTTTCTAAACAAACAGATCTAGTGACTAGATAAAGGTCATTTAGGTCAAATTAGTAATTTTTGAATTATTTTCTGCTTGTGTATTCATTATTCACGCAAAAACTAGTGGAAATATTTCCAAAATGTTAGGTTTTAAAGTTTATTTAAAAATGTAATAAAAAAATCTAAAACTAGTAACTTAATTATCATACAGTCCTACTCCTCGCGGTATCGTGCCATGAAAGCTGGCTGCGTTTCCCCGCTGAATAGATACTTAGCATTTGAGAGAGAAAAGAACCAGTTTATTTAAAAGCAAAGTTTATTTTAAATTTGCTTAGTAGTAATATTGATCCAAATAAAATTTATGGCATTTTTAAGAGTTGACTTAACTTTATTACATCCTACCAATAATCCACTGTTGAAATGGAGAAGCGCACTATTAACCAGCTTACATTTGACGACTGCTTTACATTTGTTACTGTAACTTTTTTCTACAATTCTTAAAATTAATTTCGAATTCTAAAAAATATTTATTGAGAATAAAATTGTTAATTAAATGTCAAAAAATTTTACAAATTGGGCGCAGTGTAAATGTCTCATTTCTTAACTTTCATAACAGAGGGCGTTGCATCATAAACCTATTTGCTTGAGTACAATACTCAATCCATAGTTGCCAACAAAAGGAACTAATGTGACGAATTTAGTATAACCAATAAATCTCAAATTCGCTTCAAGACATTTGTTAATAACGAATAAGATTAATGTTCTGTATCCACACAAGATGGAAGAGGAGTATGAAAACATTACTTTAAGACCTAAAAAATTATTTAAATCCAAATCTTGTGAATCATTAGATAACGACGGACTTAACGTATCTTCATGTTCCGCGGATTCAGAAATGGTACAAAGAAGCTTTGACCTGTCTACACATTTACATAAGGATACTCTAATAGATGAATTAAAACAGAAAATAAACGATTTAAATTCACAATTGCACAGCACACAAAATGAGTTAGAAAATGTAATTATAGAAAATTGTCAGTTAAAAAAAGAAATAAACAAGTTAAGCACCCAAAATAATACACTAAGAACTATATGCAAAAGTCCAGTACAGCACTTAAAGAAAACAGTACCGTCAACAAATAAAAAAAAACGATATATTACAAGAAATAACATAAATCAAACAATTGCTTCTGCATCAAACACAACATTCGATAAAGAGCGCGAGTTTGAAACCGGGCTAAAATCATCTTTAGAAAACAAAAATAATATGCAGAATCAACTACTTACCAACATTTCCGGAAATAACAGTTCTCCCGAAATACAACAAAGCAATGAAACATTCACCCAAATACAACCAAACTATAAAACATCATCGAAATTATCATCCGTACTTCATAAAAAAACATTATATATAACTGGAGGACAACAATGTATAGGATTGGCAAATTTGTTACGAACATCAAGAATGAATACACCTTTCGAACATTATCAGCTTGAGTCATTTATCAAACCAAAAGCAGACACTGAAGAAATCTTGAAAACATGCCAATTATTTAATGTCACATCAAAGGACTGTATTGTTTTAAGTATTGGAGAACATGATAAAAACCCTTATAAAGTAATGATAGAGTTAAGTAGCTTTCTAAAAACAATAGATAAAGAGTGTCTTGTATTAGTTTTAGGGATTCGCACAAATATGTACTTAAATGAATGGAAACTCAATAATATACTGAAAATAATATGTAATCAATACCAAAATTGCCACTTTATCGAATATACTAAGACTTTGAAAAGATATGATTTATGTAAAAAAATTAATCTAATTATTAATCAAAATTACTATAATTTAAAGTTTCTAAGTTTTATGCAACGTTCCAAAGTAATAAGAGGAAATATACGCAGGGAAGTATGCCGTTATAACGTTGACATAGAAAAAAAAATCGTACGTCGTAATACGCCAAAAAAAACACAGACTAAAATTACATCCTACTTCTTACCCATTCCAAACATAATTCATAAAACGCCAACAAAAAAACAGCAAAAAATAACATCATACTTTACAGTACTACCACCTAAATCTAAAACTAAGCCACACACGTTTTTTCGTACCCAACACTAGTAAGTATGTACTAAAACTGATGCATCAAAATATAGCTAGCATTTACAGTAAGAAAAAACTGCTCGAGGAAGCTCTTATCCGAATTCGCCCCGACGTAGTTTGTCTGTCAGAAACCTTCATTCCAAAGGGGTGTGAATCAAACGTAAGTATTAATAACTATAATTTAGCATCAATGTACTGCAGGCATAAGAAACATAATAGAGGAGGTGTATGTATATTAGTAAGACTGAACTTGCAATATAAAAATCTAGAAATACCTAAAAAATATGCTACTGACGAATCTTTTGAATGTTGCGGGATTGAACTAATAAACCACAAAATCGTCGTCATATGTTTATATAGAACACCCAGCTCTAACATTCAATTATTTTTACATAGGTTTAACACGTTTTTGCATGACTTAACCGAACAGAATAAAAAAAAAATAATTATAGCAGGAGACCTTAATATCGATACTCTCAAACATAGTAGCACAAATAATATTTTTTTGGATATTTT